ACACACACACACACACACACACACACACACACACACACACACACACACACACACACACACACATATACACACACACACATACAAATGGAAAAGCCTATTTTAAGGAAATTTTTTTTCTTGGAATTTTACTGATGCAATATGTAACAATCAATAGGACAAGCCAACAAGGTGAGATGAGGACAGAAAGGCATGCAATACTGCAAATGTCTCATTGTGTGATTCAGGCGATGCTGCAATTTCATTGCAACTTCTCTATTAATTAAATAAAAAATGAAGATTCAAATTATTCTCTGAAATTGGAAAAAAAATTGTCATGTGTGTCTGTCTGCATGGACTTGAGTGTTATTAAAAGAACTGATATAATTATCATTCAAATTAAGATCGAATGATAGATACAGTAGTGTTTTGTAATTAATGTTCATTTAGTTATAAATTAATTTAAAGAAATTAGATGACTGAAATTGAATTGCTTAACTCAACTGGTTTAATATTAGCAAATTCTCTTTTTGCAAATCAATTTCATTTTCTTGAATGTGAATTTTTAATTTTGAAACAGCTGCAGTTATTCCGAACGCCAATTAATATTTCTGTTCACACTATTCGGTTATATCATTCGTTTTTCGTTTTGCACAACACAGCTGACCAGAGATGAAAAAAGTAAATGAGAAGTTTGAAAGATTAAAGTTGCAAATCTCGCGAAATTCTCAGTTTTTTGCAATTAAATTGAAATTTTTGCAATTAAATTTTGGAAAAAAGAACGAAAACTTTGCAAGTTTTGCAACTTTGGTCCTTCGAAACTTCTCAGTTCTCATTTAATTCTTTCGTCTTCAATTAGCTGTGTTGTGTAAAACGGAAAACAGATAATACAATTAGTTTGAGAGGTTATACTTGTACTTGAAATTAATGAGGGAAATATAACAGCAGTACAAAAGCGGATATGAAAAGTAGTTATGAGAATAGAGCATACGACAAAGGCGCTTCTTGTGCTATCTTTAAATGAATGACTAAAAGCTGTAAAACACACAATTTTTTGAAACAGTTGACAAAGTCTATAAAATATGGGAAACAAAAGGAGCATGATGACAAGAAAAGACCAGTGATGCCAAGGAAATCGGGAACTGAGGGAAGAAGAAAGAAAGGTATCGGGAGGTTGAAATGGTTCTTCATGCAAACGAATGCCATAAATCAGAGGACAATTTTGCTGGAACAGCCGAAAAGATCCGAAAAATTTTCGTTTCGGCGTTCGACAAAAAGTGACAACATTTAAGAAATATTGTTTTGTTTCATGAACCGATAGGAGACAATTTGAAGATGGGAGATGAAGGAAAACAAGATGAAGTCGAGTTTACGGGCAAAGAGATTCTTCGGGGAAGATTGTAAAGGAGTCGGTCTGAGGCGAAAAGCCCCTAACAACGAAAAAGGCTTGAAAGACGAGGAAGGGAAATGCACCGCCAGCACTATATTAAGAACGACAAAGGTAATTTTTCAACATTCCCACTAACCCCTATCCCTTTCTCCCGCCCCCTGTGAATCCCGTATCTATCCTTCTATTTTGCTGTAAAATCTTTAGCCTCATTAGTTGTAGTTTATGGAATGGAACATTGTCGTTTATCTTCTACACGGAATCTGATTCGTCCTTGCTTTAATTATCGTTGTCATTTTTCAACGCATACATAAAAAAATAATCCAATTTACCATTCATGAAACTTAATTTTGACGCTTCCCTTCGTGTTATTAGCTACCATATCTTTTCATCATTCTAAGATACTGAATTTGCTGATGGAAGTTGAAGATACTGGCCGATTCCATCTTGATTATATCATCTTACTGATTTTTGCTATTCCTGAATTGACTTCATCCTTCAAAGTAATGAAACAGAAACATCTAAAGGGATTGGAAATAACTTACAAATGAACAACTAGTTTCACGTTTGCCCATTCTAATCGACATTGTCATACAGAAGCAATTGTGACATTATACAAATATGATTGGAAAAGACAGCACGCAAAAAGCCTTCTCATAGCATCCCAACAAATTGTAAAATTCTAAAAATGTCTCACTTTTATGTTTATGTGTTCACATTCAAACCAAGAAAAAAAATCCAAAGAAAGCCAAAATCCAAAAGATAAAAATTAGCTGCGATTAAGATTTTACTTAATTATTTCTCAAAAGTCGATCTTTGATTAAGAATTCATGTGGTCAAATTTATTGCATTTTTTGCGGATTTGTAGCAGAGAGAATTTCGTAGCGCACAATTTATTCTGAAAGAAACCACTTCAATGATAAACAAGGAAATTTCATAATTGTAAGTAATACATCTGACTGTTCACCTCAGATTCCTCAATGCTACAATGACATAATAAATATGTACATTTACTCTTAGCTAAAGAGATTCGCTATTTAAACATTGAGATCCCGAAACTGTGACATGCATTTTAGCTATTTGGTGGATTATATAATCGATATAACACATACTACCATACGAATCAACGGGTATAATATGCTTCGCGAACAAAAGAAACGGTTACGTGTAAGAATAAATTACATATTCATAGTCTTGTGTATACGAATGTTATCGAACAATACATTTCCCTCTCCCTACTTTATCCTCTCAGTGTCAACTATTTTTTTCAGGGTTGGAATAGATAGAAAGAAGCTCTACCATACTTTCAGGCCTAACTTTTGTTGAGATAAGTGAAGGACACGCAGAACATGACTTCTCAACTTCTGCATTCCTTCACTTTCATCAGTGTGAGAAATATCTCTGAATGTTAGTGAAAGATTTGAGTTAACATGTATTACATGTTGTTTTAATAAGCAGCAGAAATAATTCGCACCTTCTCGAACTCCAGAAATCCAAAAACTGAAGAATCATCTACTCTTCTTCTCCCTCCCAGGATATCCAGCTTTCTGATATTCATCACAACGCTTGGTGATTGTGGAAAACTACCTTGATCAGATTCTCGAGGTACGACTCGATAAGTATGCATAAATAAGACTAAACAATGGAAGTAATGTGTTCATATGCAGCTCTCAGATAGGTTAAGTTTGTGCAGCTTTGAAGAATTTATCATTTATCAACAAAGAAACAAATAAAATTATACACACACGTATTACGAACAAAATGTAAAAGCATTCATGTTTTTTTGTAATAAAGTGGAAGCTGATGATCGCGGCCTCTGAAATATAAATGAATCTTAGTTTATGGATGCGCAACACTACATATTTAAAAGATGCATAGTTTTTCGTATAAGTTGACCAGCAATTTCCCATATGTTTACGCTTCCCTGAATCAGTGTTGCTAATAATTTATATTTGTAAAGAACATAATTTGAACTTGAAAAAATACCAGATGAGAGAAACAAACCTATAAGGACGGGAGAAAAGATGCTTACGGGTGAACAGCCCAGAATTATCGGCAGCACAACTTGACTCAAGAAGGATATCGAAACGCGAAACCAAGAATGCCATCTGTGCCTCCAGGATATTATTTGGGTCGTCACATGCTACATAGGCCGCAAAATCCACATTCAAAACTCGCTCCATGTGCTAAATTTAAATTTCTCACTAATTTTCATTTGTTTAAAAAGAAATCCAGACGAGTGTGGACGAATAATGCTTAATGAAAATTTCAAGGAATCCCCATCGAAATGAACAAAAAGAAAATAGTTCCCCTACAATGTCCATAAAAACTATCTACTTAAAAGTTGGAGAAGATTTGGAAAAAATAGAAAAAAACAGTAAAGCCAATCTGTTCGTCAGAAAGTTTAGGTATTGTACAGAAACTTCTTGAAATGATTAAAAAATGCATTAAGTAATCAAGCCTGATGAAACATTGTGGAGTAATCAGAAATGCTTACAATAAGACTGTTATTGAATGATGGAGAAATTTCCGCGTTATCCAACGTAAAAGTCAGGATATAAATTGGTTTTACTTCCGGGTACTTGATATCAATCTGAAGTTTGTCTCATCAGTGGCTGCTAAAAACCGAAAATATTTAAACTGTATTTGACATGAAGATTCCGTATTACATGTGCATGTGCCGAAACATCTGGAAGCGAATTTTGAAACGAAATCCTAGTATATTCTGAAAATTTATTTACAAAAGTCAAAATAATTTTTCAGCTCTACTGAATATTTAAACAATGTTCATTAACTCATACAAATATTAAAGCATGAAGCTTAGCTCCTGGATCTCTTTCAACTGTTGCAGAGAAGTAAAACTGCTTGTCAATATTTGTTCGTCGTTCAGATTCTATCAGCTTCCGGTACTCCTCTGTTGCAGCTTCATATTCCTAAAAATATATGTCGCAAAACATAGGTAAAAATAATAAATAGATGGTGAATGGAACTATTTTTCTGGTTTTTGGGCATTTTCGTATTATAGAAACTAACAGGATAAATGGAATATTCAAAAGCGGCATTTATGGAATTACTAAAACTTCACTGCATCATTAAGAATATAAATGCTCCTTAGCTTAAAAACAAGCTGGAGAAATACAACGACATAGTTGCTTAATCAATAGCAGACATATAAAATCGTAAGATCTGTATTATAGAATTTAATAAAAACTTTTTATAAAAACTGCATGAAATCAACTAACGAAGAACTGCTCAGCTGTAATCATCCTAAAACTGGTCAGTTTTGCACAAACATTGTCCGGGAAATCATTTCGGTTTTTTAAATCATCGAATACTTTCAAATTATCTGTAATAGTATTTATTGCGTCACATAGCGCCACTTAATTTATAAGTTGGCAGTTTCAGAACTCAAATTTAAGCATAAAAAAAATAAAATCCAAAATGATTTTTTTGGAAAAACTATCGCATTGAAAGGCTGATCGGATTATGATAGCTGAGTCCAATTCGCCCTCGAATCCCACTCCCCGATGTAGAAAGTTGTATTTATGGAATTTTATGACCCTCGTAAAGTTTAATAATTTTTTTCATCATTAATTTACCTTTTTATGACCATAAAAAAGCCGAAAAAAAAAGGCTATCTTTATAAAATTTATTTTTAATGTTGTTACAAAAAAGAAAAAAAACACACGCAGTGAATGAGCAATTCGAGCCAGAACGCATCTTGAATGTATACGTGACCTGATTTTTTCAACCACAGAATGTATAATTTCACATAACTGAGAATTTTTCGACGGAACATCATCGATAATACCCGCCATTTTCTGAGCAAATGAATAAAACCGACCAATATTAGGTTCCAAATCAGCCACAGAAATCCTTTAAAAATTACAAACTGTAAAATATTGAAACAGAACAGGAATTCCGATTAAACAATACCAAATGATTATAATCAATCAATTAGCCGTCTGCTGAAACTTTTAAATCTTACATTCAAATCAAAATTCATTCGGAAAATTTGCACATTTTATATATATATATAGCTAGCCACCATACGCAACCAATCAAAGTAACTAGGGAAAACTAGCAATATGGCAATATTAGCCTAGGAGCCCAGTTCTCATCCAATGAGTGGACCAGGTCCTAGACGCAGATCCAACTACGAGCTTTTTAACCGCAGCAACGACGATATACACTTTGAGAGCTAGAATTACCGCGGCCTGGTACCAGACTTGCCTTCTCATAGATCCTCGTTAACGGATATATATACATATACGGTCTCAATGATCGTGATCGCTAGAGTCGCTACAATATCCACCACATTATGTTGTAAAAATATACCAATATTTACTTAAAAGCATACTTTAACTGATCCAGTTTGGCTTGTCCCACACTGTTGACACATTTACTTCCATCATCGCCATCAAATAACTCAGAAAGAAGAGATAAATCGAAGAATGCATTCCTGTAAAAGGAAAAAACCTTAAATTTGAAGAGGCCTGAAAATTACAAATTAAATGAAATTTTCCGAAACAATAAAAAATACCCATAAATTGATGTAGGTACTCGATTCAGCTTTGTTATCACTCCAACTGAGCGCAAACCCGGAATAAATTGCAGCACAAGGGTTACAAAAATATCGTCTAAAAAAGCAATCAGTTTAGACTTCTAACCGACTCCAGAGACAACCATATTCTTTGCAATATTCAAGGAGCTCCAAGCAATTCAAGCGTGTCATTGTGTTATGGAACGTAAACAATATTTTATTGAATTTCCGATCCGAGAATCCGAAAATTTCTGAATCATCATATTTGGCGAACAGAAATGTTTTGCATAGAGCAATTTTCCGGGTCCAAAGTGAGATAATATTGCAAGCTGAATTATTTAACTGACCTTGACAAACGATTTCCACCTCAATGTGAATCGGATGAGGAGCAATAACAGCATCCCTTTGTTCAGCAATTAATTCTTTCATGGACATATGCCTCCGTTTGTCATGACGTGTTGATGGTGAGTGTTTTCCGTCCACCTACAACCACCAACAAATATGAGATAGGAAGCTTTTTTCCAGAATAACATTAAGGATTGCTCCAACAATTCTTTTCTAACAATAACAAAACGGAGTGCTAGACGTGACGGAGCATCGACTTCTCGAAGCCTATGACAGAACCGTCTAATTACTGACTTGAGACAAAAGTGAAAGTGAGAAAGTAAATTCTTGCCATAATGAGATAAAAATCTAATCGATTCAGCTTTTCTCCAAAAATTTGCTAATTTATACATTCCCCATCAAAATCGATTAATTAAAATGGAAGAAATGGAACCGTTCCTCGTTCCAGAAAAAAATAATATTTACGCTGTTATATAAAATTTAATGACCTGCTTCACATATCTAAAAAAAAGATAATGTAATTCACCTCATCCTGGATATCTTCATTATCAATGTTTTCAATAATTTCGAACGCACGTTGTCGATTTTCTAGAAATTTCACAGCACTTTCGTAATCACCCTTGCATTTTAGTATTATTCCTGCTTCTAGAAAAAGATGCATATTTAAATAATGCCTATGATTGGTGAACTTTCTGCCATATTATTCCACAATTTTTCCAGAGAAAAGTGAACAGAAATACTAAAGATTTGCAAATCTACTTTAAAAAATAACTACTTATATTTTGACAGATGGTTTGTAAGGAGGTTTGAAAGTGCATACGCCGGAAGGTGAATTGTTACGGAATGACAACTAACCTTTAACAATATCACAGTAAGCCTCAACCTGTATGGCAATTACAGAAAGCTCCTGAGGTAGTAGGGACAATACACGCTCCTTCTCAAAATTAATGGAATTGCATGTCAGTCCCATCAGCTCTTGTACCGGTCTTGCTGCCTAAATCATGTACAGACAAAGCATGGATACCGTTTGAAGATTAAAGGAAAATGCAAAAATTCTTTCAGAATAAGAACTATCAGATGAGCAAAATACGAAGAAGCAATCTAGTGAGAAAAACCTCAATCACGGCTTCAATACGTGGTTTCAACGACTTTAATCGGTGTTCTTTCGTTGTAATGTCAGTGATAAGTACGTTTTTTCGTCCTTCTCGTTCTTGCAAAGTTCCAACCAAACTGCAGAGTTAAAAAAGTGTTTTGCGAGATGAATGCTTCTGGCTTTTATTTAATTTTAGATAGGAAAGTTCTGCATAGACACGACGACCATTCCTTTTGTCGAGAAACCGAAAACAACTTTTCCCAATTTGACTATGACTCACATTAACTGGTGATATTTAAAATTTTCTTCCTCTTTGCTTATCCATATCAGCTGTCTATATACGCTAATAAACAAAGAGTCCATTGTAATAGTACCTTATCTATATTACTGTACTGTCCGGGAATTGTGTTGTAAATCCTCCTTATTGTCATTATGTAGATGGATATGTATCCTCTCCAGACATTGCAAGTCCCCCTCTTGTTTACTATATATATGAGCTCATGTCTCCAGTCCGTATTATCATTATTATTATCATTATCGGCTCCCAATCCTGGTAGTCAAAGATTCGTTTGACCCATTCCTTTATCTAAGTTTATCCCACCGCTATATTTGCTACATTATTTGATTTTACGTTGACTATGTTCCAAATATTTCATCGTCTAATAAGAGCTCTACGGAATACGTTGTTCGGGATAACTCAAAGTTCGAGTTTCAGAACGGTTATTTCTCAGAGTAAGTCCTTAACATGCACAAATTGAGTTAATATTCTATCGGATTCTCTAACAAACCGAAAAAGTAAAATTTTTTCGATACCTCTGTTGCAAGTAAATCAGAACAATTGATTTTCATTGAACTCGAAGGACTACAAAAAAACGTTATGTGCAGTGTGCAATACGACGAATATTGTGGAGAATAAGCAATTACAACGTTTTGCTCTATTCTCGATGTTCCTCATTTATCCCTCGTTTCGTATAAAAAAAAAAAAGAAATAATACTTCTTTCGCTCCTCCATCTCCCAGTTCAGTCGAGCCAGATGTTGTCGATGTTGATCCTTGCGAGTGATTTCCTCCTGCGAGATACTTGCCGGTGCATTTGCATAGAATTCTTCTAATGACACCATTTCAATATCCTCATCAGCTGATCTAAAATTTTGAGAGGAAAAGTAAAAACCTGCAAACTAGCAAGCGTAATTCCTAAACTCAAAAAGCTACTTACTTGCTGAATGCACTTCTGCTTCTTTTTAGAATTCACTGGACACCAAGACTTTCTTAATTAAGCATACGTTTACCTAAAGTCATAACATCGATCAATCTCTTTCTGCAAGTGCTCAATTTCACTTCTGACGTTTTGCAACTGCAGAAACCGTTCTTCGACGACAGCACGCTCTCGATTTACTCGGTCACGAATTTGTCGATTTCGGTACTGAGCCAAACGATTCAATCGCCGCAATGATATGAATAGTGAAAGCAACGACTCTTCGAAACCTGATGCTTCCGGTGGCTAAAATAGAAAGTCATTACACATTTTGCGAAGAAAAATTTTAAATTTGAAAAAGAAATTAAAAACGGGAAAATGAAAATTAAAAGTGAAGTACCTTAACTGAACCACAACATGAGTCAATAAGTTTTTGTCTGAGCGCTTGTGAATATTCTAGGAAGGATCCTTCAATTGATGCCATGGTCATCAATAAAGCTTCACGATCTTCTTTTTCATAAAATTCCTTAAAAATTAATTTCACCAAGATTATTTTGGCTTTTAATATGCTATCATCAGTATTATTCAGAAGTACAACAATACTAATGTCCTAAACTCTCTATTCTCATTTCCATCCGTTATTTTTACCACCTGAAGAACCCTTCCTCACCAAAAAATAACAGTCGGCATCCTTAAAACCATTCATCAAAATTGAAGATAAAGCATATTACCGAAACAGTTTTTGTAATATGCTCCTCAGCCTGCTTTTTCTTCTCTGGAGATTGTAAGCCACCAGCAGGTCGAGCACGCTTCGCAGACATCCTGAAAATCTAGTACACCAGACTTCATCAATGATAAAATTCAGAATTTAACAACAATCACGCGAGTGCCTCATCACAACGCCATCATTGAACGACTAATACTATTTCTTTCTCTTAATTTTTAAAATAAAACTAAGGATTATTCTGATACTATTAAATCCCAGTTAAATTCGAATTTCCTCTATTCATAAAATCTCCAGTATAGACCAAAAAGACTTTAGTTCGATAGCAGCACCCATTAGTTCAGAATGCTTCACCTTTCTGAACTGTGAACGCTATCAAATGCAAACCAATTAAATTTTGGATACTGCCACTCAATTCAATACCAATATTGCATATAAAGCAAAGATCAGGGAGGAAATTCAATAACGCTGAACAGTTTCTTGACCATTAAATTTGAAACATTCATAAAATGCAAAGAACGCGGCAGATCGAAGTGAAATAAACAAGTGCAAACATAAACCATCATCAGATAGAAGCCTGATCAGCAAAATAAAGATCGTGGTTGGGGAAAAAAAAGAAGCAATTTCAAATATTAAGTTATTACTTTGTTTTTAACAACAATTTTCTTCATTTTTCCTCTTCTTCATGAGAAAGTATACACAGGAATGTAAATAAGTAAACGAAATAAATATGTGCAATTTGATTCATCAATTGAAACAAAATTATGCAAAACCTGAAGATCATAATCTCAATAAATAAACACTGTTCAATGCAACCAAAATATGAAGTAGTGAGAGCTTCATAAATCACTTGCGGTTGTAAAAAATCAGTGCGAAACCAAAGTTATGGTTTAATTACCATGACACCGGTCATCTATTTGAGCTCTCAATATTACATTGCACCAGACAAAGAAAAACAGACAAGGCACTTATACAAATGTACGGGTTGAAGTAAGGCAAGTGGAAAAACAAAATTTAAAACACGAAGAAATAATCATTTCAAATATTACATGGGATAACAGCATGTAAAGAAATTCCGAAAAAAATTCCCAAAAGGAATTATAGAAGAAATTTTTCTACTAACCAAAGAAATGGTAAAATTAACTATCTCCAAAGCATTAAGTTATAAAATGTTCATACTATTTTTTTCACTATCCAACACGTGGAATTTTTGCTAAGTTTCAAAAAGTTAAGGTGTGATAATTCACCACCCCTGTCAATTAGTCTGTTTTAAAATGGAAAAAAAAGTTTAATGAAAAAAGTAAAAAATAACAACTGAGTGCTGAAAGGTGAATCAGATTATATGAATGAGACTGTTAAAAATTTTATAAGAATCTGACCGTATAAAGAGGATTTCTAAAGATTCTATACAACATCTAACTATAAAAATTGGATTACTTGATATCATGATGGCTGAAATAAAATCAGGTCATAAAGCAGTCCAGTGAATTTCAGCTTACTAGACAGACAAAATATGGCACCTGTAACTATCAAAATTGATAACATCCCCCTACGAAAGAAATACAACTGAATTCAAAAAAAAAAGTAAAAGTTGGCGGCAATCAGATGAACAGTGATACCCGCAGCAGACCAAATAGTGGGTTATGCAGTGTTTGCTGTTTACCCATTACCAAATTAACAATTTGAAATTACAGTCCGTCGAACACTTGTACGCGAGTCTTCGTTGCTCCAGCGCCGCTCTGGAAAAGTCAAAGTTACTAAACATTGTAGTTGAAAATACGGTTAATGAAAGCTCTTAATGAAGGCACTGATAAAAGCGCAATGTTTCACAAAGAAAAATCAAAATGTGAATAAAACAAAGTCAATAAGTAATGATAACATGCAAATTTATTAAAGAAAATATGCTTGCAATTATCCATAATCGCAAAAACTGTCCATAATTTCTAAAGATTATCAGTGTGTCAGCTTATACTTTCCACTACCTCAATTGCAAATCATGACAATAAACAGGACATTTCACAGAGGTGCCACTTCTATCAGAATGAAATTGGCATTTAAAAAACATGACTTCAATTACGTCATGGGGTAAACAATCATTCCAGTGATTTTTAAGCACAGCAAAAAACATGCTCAAAATATGTTGAAATCACCTTATAAACATGATATATATGTGATTCAGCAGCTGACTGCAACACGAAGCTTATTAAGGATTATAATTTTCACTAAATCAATTCGTGATTTTTTTCGTGACGTCAACAAACTAGTGAGTGAGGAAAAGACAATAGAAGTGACATAAGATTGTATCTAACAGGTAATCAGAACTATCGACAAGAAATATGCGCACTAACTGATTAACAATAATATGGTACTTAAAGACAACCTTCTTATATTCGAACAGTCCAAACTTTTTCATTTGATAAAGCTTCATAAGGATGAATAGTGCGCTTTTTTGTATGGAAAAAAAATCACCTTTCTAAGTGTAGAGTATTTATCAATACCCATTTGTAGATTGGTTGCGTGGATTCGATCATGTTCTGACTGACGATCCACAACTTTCAAGCTTTCAATTTCATTCCGAAATTCGGTCATTTTTTCTTGAAGACTTTTTTTTTCTCATTGTAGTCAGCTCTGAACACAATCAAAAACCTTTAAAACTAATAAAAATATGAAGTATGCTTTTCCATTAAAATCACTTTGTGTCAGAAAATAATTTCCTAGAATTTCCATTAAAAATATCTCGAAGTACCTGGATTTTTCAATTTCTGTTCGTAAAGATAAAAGATCGTTTGGCATCATCTGATTATTGGATGGATCAGGTGGTGGACAATTCAGCAAAGCTTGTTTCTTCATAAACAATGATGGCTGTCCTTTAATTATCGGTGTAACAGTGGCTGTAAAGTTTGGATCATCATCCAGATACTGCACATAACCTCCATCGCCACTGCTTGATGATGACATCAAACGATGATGACTGATGTAACGTTGGGGAACAGGCACAGCGTATGCTGATAACCAACCCTAGAAATGACTATGCAACGTTTAAACATAAATAAGTTCTGAGCAGCTTATTTGAACACTAACTTTGCAGCAAAAATATATGGTACGAAAATATTGCTAGACATGAAAATATTGTTAAATAATGTGGGAGAATTCAGCAATAAATACGATCCAGAAGTTCCAAATAATCCGGAAATGCTAGCTGATGAGCTAGAGATAATCTATTTGATGAAGAGTGGATTCTAGGATTTGATTATTTTATATATCACATTTGAAATCTCGTTGCATCAGAAGCATGAAATCCTTGAGGCCCCTCTTTAAAATTATTAAATTCGAACCTGCGGCCAACTTGGTTCCGAGTCATATAAATGTGCACGACATAAGTACGGATCGTAACCATGACGTTCTGTTTCATGCATCAAACGATGAGCCCAAAGTTCGGCATCGCGTGCTTTCCGCTCCAGAGACATTTTCGTTTCTTCCGCCCAAAAAAATTTTTTAAATAAATAGACTCAAGAGAATACTAATTCTTATACACGAACTGAATAAACTGAATTTACATAGAAAATTAGCTCTTGTAATTCTGCTGACAACGTCTTCTCGTCATTCATTTAATGAAACGAAATGCTTATTATAAGTCTCTTACATAATTGTAGACTAAAAGTATATATGTACATATTTTTTGATTCATTTAACTTTTAGTTTATTCATCTCAGTTTATGCTTTGTGGTGAAAATTTTATAATTTAACACAACTACCAATGTCAGGCTCGACGTACTTTGAAGATTCTCGAATAAAAACCGTCACAATTTTACTGTAATAATCTTCTGCTTCATCCACAGCATAAACACAATTTGGGGCCTTGAAAAATAAGAAGTTGAAGTTCTACCTTGATTTGTGAAAGTTTCATGCGTTGACATTCTGCCTCGGCCTCGCTAGCTCTTTTTGACAGTACAAGAGCTTCCTCTTCCGACACTCGCGCTTTTTCTGCCATCAAATGGGCATTTTCTTGAGTTTTTTTCATTGCCTCCTAAATAAAACGTGCTGTTTTATTTTTTCTGCCGGAGAATATCGTGCTCACTTAAGTGACAGCGAGAAACAAACTCTGCATTACTATTCAGCTTTTTTCCAAGGCAACATTTTGGAAACCACACCGGAATAGCCTGCTGTTTCAGTCCACTCCTAGTGGTAGCATATTCCCAAAAACTCAAAAGGAAAATAATATTTCTTTGTATCCACAGCAAGAGCAAAACATGCGAGAAAGAAATCACCAAAAAATCCATAACATCGAACGAAAAAAATAATTATTTTTCAGCACCTTCATGTTACGCAGTTGTTCATTAATTGCAGCTATTTCATTTTTGTATCGATCTCGTTCAGCTTCTGCCTGTATACGTTGCTCTCGCTCACGAGATAAACGATTTTGTTCTTGCTGGAAAACAAATTCACTACTAATGAACACAAGAACACATACAAAAAATGGAAATCATTTAAGTCTGCAAAAATCCTGAAAAAGGTTACACTATTAAAGAAAACAAAGGGTCTTCCTTCAATAATATTCGCAATTTTTTAATGAAAAACAAACAATTCGTCTAATTCTCTGTTCTTTCGCCTGAGCTTTCATTTGCTGCACTTCGAGCAAATCTGGCTGACGTCTTCGTAAGTATAAGTTGTGGGTACCAACGCACAAATCCAATATGCTCATATTAATGGAGATATCTTTCGCACGAAATGTTATTGTACTCTTATCCATTGTCCTCATATTAAACTGAAACAAAACTCCATTTACAAATCTTATCGTTCAGTTCGTCCATTTCGTCCAAACCTTTTAAGTCATGTCTATACTATGAATATTAATATTATCTGTAATTTATCGAATTATATGCTATTAATTGTTCAATTAGAGATCAATGAAGCGAAATATCAAGTCCTTGAAGAAAAGACAGATCAATTAATATAATGACCCTGTAAAATGAAGGACCATAAATTAAACCTACAACTTTATTCTTGAATGAAATATTTTTAATTTCACTCCAGGAAAAAAATGGCCGTGGTGTAATTCGATTAGACTCTTTGTAAATTCCAATCCCCTGTGCTGATACACCGAGTGTTAGATCCGTTTCTTTGCTGTTCTATAATATCGCTGATACTGTAAACAGCTATGCAAACAACACAAATGAGTAATTTAAATATCGCTTAAAAAATCAAAAGAGATCATCTAGCTGAGACCGTCTGTCCGAAGGAATATGCCGCAGTCTCCTG